GCGAGTGAAGACTCATGTCTGCACCTCTGAAAACCGCGAGTTCGATCCCTGCCAAGGTTTACCACACCCTGCAGACAATTGCAAAAATGGTTCAGTACCAGCGTCAGGCCCAGGTTTATAGCCCGGCTGACGAAGACCCTCCTCACAACGAAATTGTGTGTCTAAAGTTGAAAAAGGAGGTGTAATCAAGAAGGACCTAAGTGTAACCAGGACCTAAAACTAAAGTGGCGAACATCATCCTGGCTGTCCTAACAAAACGGCAGGTTCTGTGTCTGTCGCGGGCTAATGCCTAAGGAGGAGAAAAGGAGAAGGAGAAGCTCCAACAATGGAGCGTCGTTCAGAACTAATGTAAAAACTAATAGAATTCCAAGAAGTAATCAGGTACCAACTAGTATTTAGAAAGATTCGCCAAGTAAACTTCACGAGCTGCTGATCTCTCAATCAGCATCTCCTTTTGATTGGCATTCTCGGGTGGAGAGATTTGAGCTTCGGAACTCGAGCTTTGGCTACGGCCATGAGGATGGTTTTCGGGCCAGAAACGTAGTTGGTGAATGAATTTTTTATGAGAGCTTCATGTCATGATATGAAGATTCTTTCGGAAATTTCCCTCGGATGGCTTCTTCGTGAGTCAAACTCGGGTTATTTTTCATAATACAGAAAAAAGCATTCCGAAATTATGCTGATGAACGATGCGACGAAATCGCCGACGCGCGAATCATTATGCGCTATACGCAGTTCATCGACGGCGTAGGTTTCGGGAGTCTGATACTTTCCCCTGCTAGATTTCGTGTACTAAATTTCATGAAAATGGGTTGTTTTCAGAGATGTTTCGTTTGCTATGCGACGCGGAGGAAGTGGTGCAGATTTTCGGACCAGTGGTAAAGGCACGAGAGCTGAGATCATCAGAGCTCTTCTTGGAAAAGATTGCGGAGATGTAAGTCATTAATAACTACAATACAACTCGTTGTAGGAAGAAGAAGGAGAGAGGAAAGCAGAGTTACTTGTCCGTTGAACTTGCAATTTTGCAGTAACATCACGCACTTGAAATTTGAGCAGGTATTATTTGGGAATTATGTGGAGTTTCTACTCGCAATCACCGGCGCACATCTGGCAGTCGGCAGAACTTGATAGTAGTTGTTCTGTCGGTAAGTGACTTCACAAGTCCACCGTAGATGGAGTATATTTGCAACGGTTTGGGGTCGCGTAGATCGCCGTACTTCTGCCACTTCTTCGAAACGGTTTCCGTGAGGCGAAGCAAGAATCGAATGTTGAACCGGCGGAAAATGAAGTGTTTCTTACTGCAGTAACTCCTCCATAGTAATTTAGTTTCGAAGAATCTATTCATATGAGTGGATGTGTAGCTCACACAGATGAGCCGTTATCGGCTCGAAAACTCACTTTTGCGCCGCAACGGCGCTAGGGTCGTACAAAGTCAGGATATGGCGATTTCTCAGAGTGCGGACGAGTTACGTTGAGCTCGAGGCGCGCAACGTGGATTACGGCATAGCAACTAATTCAAGTACGTCTGGGTTAGTTGAGCTACGGAGCAGGCAAGTCCGCACAACTCGTCTGGCCCCGCCCCTTTCCCTTGTTTTGACTTCATCGACGAGTTGCTTCAAAGACGATAGTAGATGTTCTCACTGCACTATTATGCCAAGATTGGTAGGAAGGCCGAACATTGATTATACAGGTACTTTCAAGCTCTGACCGCCTTCTTCTTACGATTAGAGATAAGTAGTTGGAAGACAGGTCGTGAGAACTTACAATGACAACTAGCCAAGGACGCAAAGTGATAAGAATAGAGGCTCTAACGCTCTAAATTACCCAACGGCAGTAGTTTGACAGTCAGACTTCGCTGCTGGTATGAGCGAATTTGTCAAGGGCGATCAACACAACTTGACAGCAATGAATTCAAAGTGTGTGTTCTGGTTATTTCCATCATCGTCGACTTTTTTCCCCATTTTTCACACTTGCAAGGCCGATTTCCTATTCCAAAAGGCTTAAGCCCCCACCCGTGTACGGGAGCAGCGGTATACTTGGAGACTTCAGCGCAGGATGGATTACAGCGGAGTTGTGGGCTGGAGAATACCAAATCGCCATCAGAACAAGTATAGAGTATTCATGATCAGGGAACATTCTTTAAGTGATTCCACCTGAAATCTTACCCGGCTCTCGATCAGAATAACAAACAGTTGCAATTTTTATGATCTCTCTGACTTCAACATTTTTAACAGGCAGTGGGAAACGGTAAAGGAGGGGCTTGTTCAAGTCTTTGTTACTGGAAGCACATTTACATCATTGTATATCGCAGATCCAGTGGAAGGCAGTTGTAGAAACCGATCATTCACTGCGCTCTCCTTCCCTTACGATGAAACGAAGTTCTTCTTATAAATGACCACCTCTGACAGCTGCAAACCTTTTGTTATGCTTCATGACTTTGTTTTTAGAATAATGATCGATTTAGTCATTCCTCTCAAAGGTTGCACTACAAGCGCAGAGGTGTGTCTGACGCCACCAGTCTCCTCATCTACAGCGCGATCTGTCCAGGCTAAAAAGGTTTACGCTTCGATTCGTGGAAACCTGTTCTTCTGCCTTTAATTATTTCTTTTAGAATCGCCAGAGATGTTTCTTCTTGTTTATCAACGGTCGTCTAGTTCAATGTGCACCTCTCAAATTCGCAGTGGATTCGTTATTCTCTGATCACGACCTCCTGTGTACCTTCTCACTTATAGCGTTATCGGTATGTGGTAGTTTCGTTACCGTCCCATTTCCTAGAATGCTTTGTGTGTCTCTATGTTCCTGTTTGTTTTGTTGTGAAATTCTGGGTTACCTGACAGAGGCCTGTCGCGCGGTTGAAAGGCAGAGACGCAGCGAGTCAGCGGACGAGTTCGCAGCGCGTACTGTAGTGATTTCGCGTCAAGTTAAATAGAATGTACCATTGTACGTCCTACATCGCACATCACGCGCTGCGACTCGTCCGCTGACTCTGCCTTCTTGCCGCGCGACGGGCCTCCTGTCGGGTACCCGGAAGAATAATGCGGATACACCAGACTATGTTAGGGTGGGACATGGATCAAGATGTGTGGATCGTGCATAACCTAAGCTGGGCAATGGCTATGTTGGGGGAAGGGCACTTGCATCGGAATGGGCGTTTCCAAGAGCGCTATTTTCTCTTTTTATTTGACGTGATCTCTTTCTCTATTCTCAATTTTCTTGTGTCCTTTCTAAAGTCATTTCATTCCTCTTTTCCAGTGCAATATTTTCACTCGTCTTCTATCGTTTGTTTTTCTCTGTGAATTCCTGCATTTCGTCTCTTGAAGAGTGAGTAACGGTCGAGTATTCCTCGGTGGGGTCCCGTTTGAGCTAGTGAGAAAGGGGGATCATGGGTGCTGTCGGTCTGGAAAAAATTTTCCTTCCTCTCCAGGGCTTAGCCCCAGTGTCACCTATGTATCAGGAGCTTTTAGACGTCCTGTTTTCAATGCCCCCTCCTTAAAGCCATAACCGCCTAAAACTCAATTCACTGTGTTCTAATAAGAGTATCACATAGATTTTTGAGCGCAATATAAGTGAAGTTCTTCAGATCGATCCATCGCGGATTGACGTCAATGTGCATCCTACCAAGCAAACCGTGTTATTTTTGGAGGAAGAGGCAATTATTGAAGATCTGCAAAAGGTTTGTGACTGACAAGAACTATCATCTCGGTTACAGTTGTTTTCACGGTTCACCACATCATTCCCGTTTTCCATAAATTAGCCGAAGAAAAATCACCGAGGTTTTTTTTCAGCTACCTTGAAAAACACTGCTTTATTGATTCCTTCGGAATCGCTAAACCTTCTAATGTTGAAGGGGGCGGTCGCGATGGCTGACCATGGGAGGCGAAGACGAGTTGGTCGCGTCATTGGTGGAACTCGTCTAGCTATTCCACTAGTGCGCGAGGATGAGTGTCCACCAGATCACCTCTCGATGGTCTTACGCTGTTCGGAGATCCAGGCTATCCAAGCTTCCACTCCTTCGGGGCGGTTATTTGGTACCAGACTTGTCCGGAATGGTGTAGGGGTACATTTTACGGATTGAAAGGAAGGTTCAGTTCTCAAATGCGCGCTGTACGAATAGCCAAGAAAAGGACGTAGGAAAAAATCCCCTTTGGGGTCCGTTGTCAGCAACATGCAGTGCAGCAGTATTACGGGTACTCACAGTGAAATAAGATGAAAATTCAAAATGATAAAATAGATAATAGATTAAAGAATAGACAAATAATAAATATAGTAATAATAAAAAAAGTAAGTAATAAAGAAAAGATATAAAATAAATAAATAGAAAAAAAAGTATCGTGAAAAAATGAAAAATTAATAGGAATCCATTCCTTCCCGAGGTTCTCGAGGGACTTGTATTTGAAACAACTATGAAATTTCATCAGACCGAATGTGTCATGGTTATGCGCTTCATTTCGCATAAGGAGCATGAACATCTGCTCATAGATTTAGCACCGCTTTCCACGCGTGTGTACAGGGATCAAAGCGTAGTACCTACGGCCTGACAGGCCAACTGACCTTCCTATTTCTGGGATTCTTTCGAGCCTATTTGGCACCATCAGCCTTGTCTGGGACTGCACAAAACAACCCTGACTTGACTCAGCTTGGACGCGTTGTATATGCTAAATAGGCATTTAAGAGGTTACTGCGGTTTCTACTAGCGGAATAAGATGGCGGCAAGCGCATCTCAAACAGAGTGGTCGTTGTAAATACGGTTTGCCTTCAAAATCACTACTTCAGGCTATCCAGAAAAGGCTTAAGCGATATGTCTTCGATCGGGATCTGGCACCACGATCGGTCAGCAGTTCCAATAGCCTACTAACTTCAACGCAAATTCAGAAGAATTCCCAGCCAAACCCAGGCTGCTTGATTGTGAGTGTTGCACATATAAAATTTTCACATGTTTCGTGTTGTCTTCTCCCGTGACAGTTTAATGATTTGCCCTAAAAGAAAAATTAGTGATCCTCAAAATAAGATAGCTCAAACCACAGTAAGTCAGATGTCGGCCAAATCTATCCCCAGCTGAAGTACCACTCATGACGCTCTGCCAAACCATATCTCCATTTTACTCAGAGTGTAACTACTACACTGGTGTGCAAAACTTAAGGACCGGAAGTAACTTTCACATGATATCTCACTGCTAGTTAACCTAGGTGGACCAAATTTGGCACATATATAGAAGTAAATGTTGCGGTACAGTGCAGAGAGTTACTAACAGAAAAGCGCAAAGGGGCGATTGGAAAAGACATTTTTCTGCAAATACCCTGTCTGAAGCGGTCGATAGGTGAGGCTTCTCCAACTCATGGTAGACACTCAAAAGAGAGGAGCTAGTTCTTGATGGGGTGTATGAACACTACGGACTGCAAGGTATGCTCTGCTACGTGTTCCCATACAGGCCGTAAGATTAGTTAAGAGTTCTTGAGGAGAAGTGACCGATTCCTTGGAGACCGCGATTGACAACTGCAGGACTATTGTTGGCACATGGTCATGTGCTACAATAGCTCATCTGAATCCACGCCACACGTGCTCCATAGAATTAGACTGGAGGAAATAAATGGCTTCACCAATTACCGAAAATCCTCACTTTTCAAGAGTTTTCCACCCAGGCTGCTCGATACTCTCGCACACTGCCCTCCATACGATTGAAGCTGAGGGCAAGGGAACCCTTGGAAAGATGCATATGACAGAAGGGTACAACACCACAATCACGTTGATCAGAAAGTGTAACGCGATCATGAGTTGGGGATCAGTACGCCCCGACAACTTTATGCCTCCCCACATCATGTCGCATGCACTACCAAAACAATCATGTTAAACGATGGTCCTGGGTAGATTACACGTTCCTATTTTCCCCATATGCAGGTAAGTCCAGAATCACTACTCACATTCAGTTTGCTCTTGACCGGGAAGAATACGCGATTTTTCAATTCGGTGGTCCATCTCCAATGTCTCGGCTCGTACCAAATGTCCCAGCCGAGGCGTGGATTTCAAATGAATACAGGTATTGTTGATCGATGAGAGAGATCACTCCTAGGCGGTCACTGCGCCACTGTCCGGACTGGGATTACATGCCTTACAATCCTGATAAATGTTTTTGCAACTGCAGCATGTGACTGACGTGGGTCCATTTTTGCCTGTAGCAAAACCTAGCAATCACCTGCTGCTGCGGTTGTTCGTGACCCACAACCTCCTCTTCTTGGGACAGCAGTGGCTGCGGTCCACATTGCTTCTCATGCACAAAAAACAATGCTGTGGTTGACACAAAACTCCTGGACACAACTTCCTTTTTTCAGTTTCCCAATGATTCTTCCTCGCGTAAAGTCACCCTAGTGTTGTCTCTGAGACTTGATGTAATCAAGAACACCACTACATTCCACAGTCACTTCTCCCTGCTTAGTTCACCCCTCTTGTCCTGCCCCACGATACCCATCGTTCTGGGTGGCCACCCCATTTAGGCTCCAGATTGAAGCCGGATGCAAGACATATGAGGCCCACTTCGGTGCCCATGACTGTAGGGCTTCTAGCATTATGCCCGTACAGTTTCATCCAATTCCATCTAATTGTTAATAAGTTAGGACAATTTATCTATCTGGTCCTTAAGTTTTGCACACCAGTGTAGTTTTCTCAAGAGAAAAATTTTCGATGCGGAATACGATGGCATGTATTGCAGTGGAAATATAGAGCATTTCAGGATGTTCTGGAATTCTGGTGGAAGTTCCGTAAATTTCCCAAATTTTCGTGGAAATTTCTCAAGCATTTCTAAATATTCTCCCCAAATTCATCTAAATTCTGAATAACTTCTCACTGCAACCTCTCTTAGAAATACACTGACCTACGAAAGAATATGATTACCTTTTCCTGGAACAAATATGACCCCGACCTCTTCCGCATGATGGGTCACCCTGCTTAAAACGCTTGAGTAGGAGATGTGCGATCGCAAAGGTGCGCTGCTACCTTCCTGTGAATAAAGCAGATAGCTAAGAGAAGGGGACAATTTGTACTGCTGTTTCTTTTTTTCGCGCCATTGAGGTTATTGGGTGTAAGCTTTTTTGATCAGCTTCACACTGCACTTTTCCTGCTCATACTCGATATGTAGGTGCAGAAGAGGACACAATTAGTCAAGCTGAGCCGGGTTTCTCTTTCCCACAAAACACAAGATAATATATCCCATTTTTTGTTCTTTCGTACAGTTTTCTCGATTATAGTCAGAAAACTCGAAAAAAAATCTTCAAAAATCTTCAAAACTGTATATTTGAATGATCAGATTAATTGCAGTCAATTAATCTGCCTCGCAACTCGTCGAGCAGCTGTGACAGCCAACCACAAACTCCAACTGCTGTGAAGAA